ATATATATATATATATATATATATATATATATATATATATATATATATATATATATATATATATATATATATATATATGCTTCCACATAGAAATTAAACTATCATGCAATAATCCACCATTATATCATATAGCATTATCAATATATTTCACAAATAGATATCTTATAATTAAAAAGCGTACCCGATAAATTATATGTTCGTCAATTCAAGATTTTGTGGGTAGCACCAAATCGTGTCAATATTATGGCAGTGCTGAATGATTTATTCATATCTCTTCCGTCCCAAGTCCGATTTTGTTGATTCAATATGATCCGAACAGCCAACAAACTTTTCTACAACTTTTATCTTTTACGTTTTCTGAGATTCGGACTGGATCATGATCAAAATAAGCCTCGAAGTCGGAATAGGTGTGCTGTAAATTTGCACCTACAATGGAACCAAAAAAAATATTAAATAATATTCATGAATCAAAATTATATAAAACCTCATTATTGATCTTCGATTCAGTCTTCTTTCACCAAAATTTCGTGCATTGGACATTGGTGATGCGTTAATATGCGACGAGTTGCATTGGTCACGAACGGTTGTATTTTTCATGAAAAGGTGCATTGGCAGTTCTGCCACCCTTTCGTGTTTTCATCATAACTTCCTCGTACGATCTCCGATTGTGACGATCTAACATGTTCTGGAAATCTAACTTGATTATCTACAACTTCTGTGAAATGTTAATTTGCCATATTCGGACTTTAACACCTTCGAAAATGGGCAAGAATGTGGACTTCATGTTCTGTCCGAAAATAAACTTTCTCCAATTGTATTTTGTAACTTCTTGATTTTTGGCAGACTATCTTCTTCTCCATCTCGTTTACCAACGTGTGCAGAAAACACAATTTACTAAATCAAAAAACATTTCGTCTTAAGATTGTTGGTCCCGATACATAAAACGGGTAGTGAATTTAGTAAATTGGTTGAACAAATTAATTAGTGAAAATACGAAAAGATTAGCCGAGGCGAGTTGACTCTGTCCTTAAGACGAAATTTCCCCGCAACGGTGCTAACGGATTAAATGGAAATCGTCTCCCAAGATACAACGGCAAAACTTGGAATAGGAGCACTCCAAATCCCAAGTACGACGAACTGTACTTTGTGTAGAACTTTTCGAGAGAATCTGTGAAGGGTAGGCTTAATATGTAGTAGGCTTGTTTTTGGATTGAAGTGAGGAATTTTGGGAAAGTTAGGGTCTATTTATAAGGTTCGAAAAGTAGTTATCCTTTGGAGCAAAAAGGTACCTTTTGTTTGAATGGTTGCACCATTTCGAGTTGAGTTAAT